ATTGAAATGTTTGCAAGAAAAGAACCAAGCTCAGAGAACCCCAAGGACTCCACAGAAAGATACTCTGGAATTTCAAAGAAACCCGAAGAACATTTTTTTCCATCTCTAGTCTCCAAGACCAAAGAAAACCACTTCAGGGTAGTTCAGTGATTAATCATCTCTAGGACACTGGTGCCATGAAGCATGTGCCTATGGAAGCATTCTTTTGACTGAAAATGAAATTGATCATGTACTAATCTAGTCCAGTTTACAAGTGGGCAACTTTAACAGGTTTGCCTAACTAAAATATTGCTAAATTTGTTAAGCTTCTTAACTTCTTAATACCAGTGTAAACCTAGTTTGATTTTGTAAATAAAAAAACCCCCCAAAATACCTGTCTGTGATAAGATTCAATGTACCATATCAAGAAATATATTCTTCCCATGAGGGAAGGAAGGAAATTTGATGAAAATTGTAATATGTGAAGTAACATGCATATTTTTTAGCTCCTAATATGTGAATACTATTACCAATACATGTATTATCAATACATGCCAATGTTTTATGGTCCACTGAAAAGCAGGAACAGAACCATCAAACTCTAGATCACATGGCAACAAGAGGAAGATAGCCCATGGACAAATGCTTGAGACCAACCTTCTTTTCAGAAGGTAAGTGCTAATGTTCCACGAAGGAAAAAAGGGATTCTTCTTTCAGTTGAAAGTTATACTGTATGCTACATATGAGAAGTGTACAGCTCTGATACTGTGAATAGTCTTACAACATGCTACCAAATTTTTAAAAATCATTTTGGAGGTAAAGACTGAGTAGCACTACAGAAAAATATTTCCTTTTTCCTAGATTCCCCCCCCCCCATATTTTTAATTGAAAGTCTCCTCAAAAGAAGGGAAAGGTAAGTTTTTGGTCCTTATATTATTTTACACACTTTAGATCAGCTATCCCCAGTCTCAATCCCTACCCATACAAATGTTTGACTACAACTCTCAAAATTCCAAATAAAAATGGTACATATAAGCAGTCATATGTGGTATGGGGCAGAAAACTAAGGAAAGCTGTTTTCAAATTCCTAACAAAGCTTTAAGTAAGCTTCATCTGATTTATTAATACAAGCTTAACAGCATTATCAGTGACCCCTTCACTGTTTATTGGTGACGGCCAACAATGCAGATATATTTAAAAGGTCAAATTCATGGAAGATCCAGCTGGAACAGCTATTAGTTTTGATGGCTCACAGACTGAATACTAGTAACGGAGGAAAAGAACTACTGCTTGCAAATTTCGATACTACCGAACACACCAAGTTGGTCATGACAGGCCAGAAAAACCTGAGCCAGCGGAATGATCCTAATCCCAAATTAAACATCAGGAGGAATGAAGACAGACTAAGGAAAAGCATCATTCTGAGTTACACCTGCTAGGATCGCCTCTCCTCCACTCAGTTATGTGGAAGGCAAAGCCCCCGACTGCAAGAGCATCTTGTCCAAAGAGACGGATGATCGTGACAATTACCAGAAGAAAAACTCACAGGGCGAGAGGAGATTAGCGATTTGCAATGAGTACAAGAACAAGGGTGCTGACAATCCCTGCCTTTAAGCAACCCGCCACAACTGTTTCAGCTCCAGAAAACAAAGGGTACACCAACTACAATGAAAATATATAGACAGGAAGTCATATTCCGACCAAACATCCCCTTCGCAAACGAAGTTACTGCCATAACTCGAACTCTTTGAAAATCACCTCCGTTCCTCTCCACCTACTTACAGGCCACTGAGGGGCTGGGCAGCAATAACGGTAATGGCCTGAGCCGCTCCTCACTTTGCTCACAAGCAAACAGGCACGGCGCCGATTTCTCCCCCACCGTCGAGGCTCGCCTCAGCCGCCCACTCCCCCGAACTCCTCTTGCCCCAGCGAATGAGTGCCCCTCCGCCCCGGAGACAGCGTCGGCGGCCTGCTCCTGCTGCCGCTCCTCCTCCTCTCACTGTCTCCAATCAGAATCAACAGGAAGAGAAAAGGGAAACGGCCGGCCGCTTCGCTGCTGCGCACGCGCTGAGAAAAGCCAGTGCCCTCAAGCCAATCACGGTTTCGGAAGGCTCTGTTCAAAAAGGAAAGGATTGAGGTGGGGGGGGGCTAGGATGCATTTTAGCGCGAGATGACAGTTAACGGTTGCTGGGGCGGGCGGGGCTGGATCGTAATTTGCATCTCTTTGTTTTTCGGCCTCGCCCAACTCTCCGGGAGTTTTTCGTCCGATGATTTTCTGGGACGCTTAGAAACAAAACGCCCGGACCTGTCTTTCAAACGTACCAGATTTTAAAATGAGGCGGAAACACACGCACATCCGAAAGCACGCCAAGCCATTGCAAAAAGTTTGTCTAGTTTAGTACAGTATGGTGATGAGTGGTAGCAGCGCAACAAGACACTTTTCTAGGCGCGCCTTGCGCTGCCAAAGACTGGATTTGATACTTTCCGTGATACACTAGAAGCAGGGAGACCCAGGTTCAAGTATACCCTCAGCTCTTTGGGTGCCTTTGGGTCAGTCATCCTCTCTCAGCCCAAGCTACCCCACGGGGATGTTGTACGCAAAAATAGGAGGAGGGAGTGCTAGGTAGCTTCTGTACAAAATGTGGGATGAAAACCTAAAAAACAAGTTAAAGCCTCTGACTTTATTGGCATCCTTGGTGTTTTCCGCAATTACATTCAGTTCTGTTACATTAATTTCACTTCAATTTCAGTATATTTAGCCTCTTTTCAGGTTGTGGGTAAACACAATCCAGCTCCTCCCAGAAAGCTACACTTGATCCTAAAAGGCACACTTTTAATTCTTAAATTATATTTATAATTATATCGTATTATTTTAATATTATATATATATTATAATATATATTATTTATTATTATATTAAATTATATTTATAAAAATAAATTCTTATTAAATTATTAATTTAACAAAAAAACACAAAAGCTAAACAGTTGGTGAAAGGAAAAAAAAAAGCAAACACAGAAAACAGCCTTGGAGACAAAGTTCCTCCTTTAAATCACCTATCAGGGCAC